TAATCTGTAAGGTAATATCCATATGGGTGTAGAAAAAACAAATTTACGTGATAGAAGCAAAAATGGGTTAAATATAAGTCTTACTTCAGCGAAAAAAGTTAAAACGGCTTGATCAATAATTTGGCAGGATATTTGCAAACGGGTAGAAGGACCTGTAAATTAGTTCAATTTATCAATGTTTTCAAAATAAATTAAATAAAAATGTATTAAAATAATTTATCAAGATATACAATTAATGTATATACCATAATAAGCTTTGGCCGAAGTATGCATCAACAATGTGGTCAACTTAAGATGGATCAAAGGTCACGCTACATCGAAAGATAACCGTCTTGCTGATTCACTTGCCAAGCAAATACTTTTCGGACCCGGGGTAGTATTCTCGAGTCACGAATATAGATTCGCATGCGAGATTTATGATTTGTCTCACTTGGTTTTCGTTCAACAAAGTGAGACACATTGTAAAACACGTATGCGAATGTCGGTATTCGTGATTCGAGAATACTACCCCTGGCCTTCTATTGGACTGACAACATCGGCAGTGACATACCTAATTAAAGAACATTCCCTTGTGAAATTCCAGGAAAGATGGGATGAAACAAGAAGCTGCAGACTTGCCAGGGAGCTTTTCAGTTATCCTGGCAACACTACAGCGAACAAATACTTGACTATGACTAGGCAAAATCTGCGCCTGATCACAGACATTCTGAGTGGACATTGCCAAGTACGGAAGCATCTCCATATCATGGGGCTGTCAGAATCCGCACTCTGCAGGAGGTGCGAACAAGAAGATGATACCATAGAGCATATCCTCTACGATTGCTAGGCGTTCTCATTTATTAGAAGATTTGTGTTCGGTGAGAATTGGATAACACCGGCCGATATAAGAGAAGCACCTCTTGGCGACATTGTCAACTACATTAAACTGTAGGCTGGCTCACGAGCTAGGAGGTGTCTTTCTAGTTAGGAGGATGCACAATGGGTTTAGTAAGGCCTAAGTGTCGTGGGTTAACCCACTCTCCTCAAGTTACAGATACAGATACAGATACAGATACAGATACAGATACAGATACAGATACAGATACAGATACAGATACCATAATATTATTATCATTATTATTATTAAAAAGGAAGGTAATTCCAAACCAAACCGTGACCAGGATGTAATATAAAAAAAAAAAAACAAGAAAATCTCAAACATAGAGAAACAGTTAATTTTGCTGACGTTCTTCCTTAGATAGCAAAAACATTGTTTATCTCTCCTGTTTCTCTTCGGATATAATCCAATGCCTGTTGTGGTATTAGCCGAAGGAGCACTTGGTTTTCGTAATATTTTGTGAGATTTTTTGTTTTTCTTTAATATTATTATTTGTTGTAGATATTAGAATTTAGTAATATTATTGATATTGTAGCAAATGGTATCAAATGCAATTAAATAATCATTTGTTTATATGTTTACAATATCATATATTTACTAGGTATAATTTAAATATAAATAGATGATATTGAAAATTATCGAAAAATGTATTTAAACTATAAATTCAAGGAAATGTAGTACCACTACGAATATTTTCTCTGAATTGTATCGAGCTATAATCTACTAAAACAAATAATAAAACTAAGATACGGGGTCTTGGATAAATAATAAACAGATCCTTACTTTTAAATTGGTTTTACAAGTAAGTAGTATGTTTTAGTTTTTATCAACAATATATTTCGAAGACCAGTACATCATTCATTGGCTGGAATATTTGAGTCTAGTACCACAATTAATTTTTATGCAAATAGGTTTATAAGTTTGTCATATTTCATTAAAAAGATAATTAGTTTCACTTAAACAAAATTTTGAGGAATTATATTTTTATCGTAGAAAAAAGCATATATCTACTTATTTGATAAAAACACAAGATATTTTTAACCCTACAATAAATTAAGTATGGTGTACGACGTGGCATAAATTTTAGACGCTAGACATATCAATAGGATAAAAACAAAATCCATAACAAGCTGATGCTAGTAGATATTTGTAGACCACAATGTCATACCCATTATTTAAAACTTAATACATATTATCTATAAGTATCAATAAAGAGAGAATAAGTACGTTGAAAAGAGAAACAGCTTTTAACAGAGAAAGGCGAAATCATTGCATAAACAGGTATTTTATTTAGATGAAACATGTGTTAATGCTGGACACACAGTAACAAAAATTTGGCAAGATACCTCCATCAAAACTAAAAAAAAACAAGCCTTTATGGACGCGGTCTCATGTGGAATAAAAAATCCAACAGGAAATGGAAATCGTTTAATAATATCCCACATTGGAAGCACCGATTGATTTTTGCCAGGTGGTTTATTAATGTTTGAGTCAAAGAAGACAAAAGACTACCATAAAGAAATGGATGGCTCTATGTTTGAAAATTGGTATAAAAAAAATTCCAGGCAATTCCGTTATTGAGTCGATTAAAGGAGTCACTACCTACAACAAGATAGAAAAAGAAGATATTTCAAAATGGCTTCATTCTAAAAATATTATCAGGCCTCCTAAATCCTCGAATGCAAAATTATTCGTAATAGCAAGGCAACATAAAAACACATTCAAAATAGTATATTACATTACGAGTGTGGAAAGTGGCATTTTTCACACGAGTGGAAAATATTGTCGCACGAGGCACAAGCCGAGTGCGACTATCACACGAGTGTGGAATATCACTTTTCACACAAGTGAAAGTACAATATTTTTCCTACGACCACAAAATAATTTCCTCAAAAAATGTAAAACCAAGTTATTATAATAATTAAAATGTATTTAAAAAAATAATCAACAATAATCCTATTTATTCAATTTTCATATTTTCTAAACAAAAAAAAAATTAAAAAAAACACAAAAAATTCCGGCCCCGCCAGGATTTGAACGCGGTCGCTCGCCAGGTCTCAAATGGCAAAGTTGATAAGTTTGACCCTATAACCATCTGAGCTAATTGGCCTTACGTCAATTGAATAAATCTAATCGGTTATGTGTTTAACCAGAATAAAAAGCAAACATATCTTAGTTATTTTAAAATTACTTTAATAATAATTGTTAAAGATAAATATCTAGGATCTAATTTACAACTATTTCAATAATTTAACAATCATATTGATTTTAGTATTAATATGGACATTACATAGATCAAAATAGAAATGATGTGTTTGACATTTTGTGACAGCTGCTGCGGAAAGTAGCATATTCGTACACGGGTGGAAAGTAAATTCTTAATCATACGCGTGTGATATAGGGCACTTTCCATAGGACTATATAGGATGATATGTGTCACTTTCCTAAGTGGTCATAGGAAAAATATATTCTAGACGAGATGGTCCAATGAAAAGGAATGGAAATTCTCATATTGCCTCCTTACCACGCAGAATTAAATCCCATTGAACTAATCTGGTCACAATTAAAAGGTTATGCTTCTCGAAACAATACAACATTTAAATTACCTGATGTGCGAAATTTGTTTTTGAAGGCAGTTTCAGATGTAAATTGGAGAAAATGCATTGATCATTTTAAAAAGTTGCAAAATTAATTTTGGAAAGTGTATATAGCAATGGAAAACTTAATAGACCCTATAATAATAAACCTCAGAAAAGACAATGATAATGATACCAGTAGTAATAGTAAAGACAGTGACTTTTAAAGATGGTTCTTGATCTTTTTTTTTTAATCTTTGATTGTTACTTTTAATGCCAAGAGATTAAAAAAGTTTAACTCAATTAACAACATTTAATCCTCCTTGTTATTTATTTGTTAAATTTAATTCGTTTAATGTTGAAGTGCAAGAATTTTGTCAGAAGCATAAGGTTTATTTTTATTTATAGAAACGCCATTCCATCCCTTCTTATTTCTCTCACAATAGTAGTTTGAGCACAAATGAAGAAAACGACCCTTTTAGTTTTTTTCACATGTTACATACTTTAGTTTTTCTACTGCGTTACTTATATTGTCGCGAAATGATTTTGTAATTCACTGAATTTTTTTGAATAAACTAGTTAGTAACAATGTCATATATTTTGATATTTTATTTAAAATAGAATTACTTTTTTCTACACCCACATGGATATTAGCTTATCTACGCACAGATTACAAAACAAAAAAGTGTGCTATTGGGTTCAACTGAACAAATATATTTCATATCCATTCTAGGTAGTGTGAACACAGTTCATAATTTGGACACCCAACTACTTTTATTTTTAAAATTTTAAATGTGACAATTGTCAAACTAATTTTCAGTATATTTTTTAGTTATTAAGATTAAATATAAATATAACATAAAAATTTTTGTTTAGAATCGATAAATAATAGCATTTTTATTTTTATTAGGGCTACATTTTAAAAAAAAATAAATTTTAATCAAACTATAGGAATCTAGTTTAATAAGGAGTATTAAAACTAAAATCATATGTGCACAGAGCATCTGCCTTCCACGCGAATATCCCGGGTTCGAATCTGGGCGAGGGACTAATTTTTGTTTTGTTTATTTTGTATTATAAATTAGTAAAATTTATAAATTATTTTAAAATTAGTCATTTTGTCTTAATAACCTAAAATAATTTTTTAAATTTGTAGATTTTCGATAGTGGGTCGTAGAAAAAATATAATGTACAACTCGAGTGGATTTTCCATATCCACTCTTGTTGCACAAACTAATATTTCATATACAATATTATATTGGTACCTATTAATTTAATAAATTTTACAGTTTTTATACATATAACTATGTTCATTAGGTATCGAGTTGGGAATTTTGAAGTTTATTTAGGAGCAAGTAAGATGCGAGAAAAATGTAACTGTGTATAGCAATCGCAGACAAATACTCTTTCCTTATGGAAATGGCTCTTCTATCGGAAAGAACGTCACTAGATAGATATACCTTATGATACGCGAATCGACTAGATACTTAAAAAACATTTATACAATAACTACACTAGATCCGGACCTGACCTGGCTCAATTGTTTGTCCGATAAACGATAGTCTGACTCACCAAACAAAAACAACGTAGATGGCAGACTGCGAATATGAATATGGAGACGCAAATAAACCATCATCCTTTAGAAAATTTAGAAAAACCTATTAGGAAAATGGTAGGAGACGATATTGAAAATGAGGTGAACGATCTCACGGAAAAGTGTCAAAAGTGGTTAGAAAAATGTTCCGATAACGACAATGATTCTGTATGTTCGGAAACTAATAGTTCTATGTTTAGTGATACGACAGATAACAGTGCTATGGACTCAGGTTTTGTGTTTCAAAATAACGATGTAGTAGTCACGGATCAAATTATTAGAGCTAGGGTAAGTATTTGAATTCAAATTAAAATGTTTTGAATAAATATTTTACTTGGTTTTTTTATTTCTATTATTACTTGTATTTTGTGTTTCTTGACCTACTACACTTTCATTTAATTGACGAAGGTCGTCCACCAAATATAGTTATATTACAAGCGTGAAAAATCGCTTATACACAAGTGATGTACAATATTTTTTTTACGACCACAAAATAATTTCATAAAACATGTAAAATTAGAGAATCTGGGTAAGGAGGTTTATCAAGATGTGGCTTGGTTCAGGGTTGTCAGGTAAGGGTTTTTTTGCAACTAAAACCTAAAAAAGGAAATTCTCCATTTTTTTTTTAGGATAAATATTAAGAATTCCCAATTGTATTAATCAATTATCAAAAATTAATGTAGTAGGTATATAAAAACAAATGCAAATATTTTATCAAACGTTATACCTACCTCCCACTAGTACTTTTTGATATTTATATTAATGACAATACTTAAAAAAAACACCATTTAAGTATTTATTTTTCACTTATTAGTTTTTTTTTTGCGGAATGTGATTTTTTTTAATTAGGTAATAAAATTCTATTTTTCATGTTTTGCTTGTATTTTTTGTTTAACTTCATTGATAATAACTTTTGACATATAAGAACGGTTACATTCGACTTAAATGACACAGGAATTTCAAAATATTTTTTGTACTCTTAGAAAGTTGAGAAGGTATATATGATGAAAATTAAAAAAAAATGGAGATTATCCACGATTAAGCGAGAAATTTAATATTAAAATCTCAAAAATTGCACATTTTTAATCAAATATTTTGACTTATGTGTACAGGGATGCCAAGTATTTTAATATGTAAGAAGACATAGGTAATTATTTTTTAAACTCGTAAATTATTATACTTCTGTGATTTGTTTAATTAATTAAAAATAATAGAATTTTGTGATAAATATCGCTCCCCGGCCCCTAACACAGATCAAGGAATAATATCTGTTCATATCAGCTTTACAATTGTTTATAAAATTAAACAGCAATCCTTTGTAAGTTTTTATAACTTACTGACATTTCGCATGACATTTTTGAGTAATTTCTAGAAATACATACAATGTTACAAAATCATTTTATTTGACTCATTCAACATAAAAGTTCACTCTAAATTCTTTGCTACCCGGTCATACTGTTAATAGCCAGACTACTTAGTTTTTTAAATATTGCGGGTAACGGCCGAAATAGTAACAAGTAATAAATTAATCTTGGCAACCCAGCTTATTATCCAGAAAAGAATTGTCAAATATTCAAATTTTCAAGTTTTAGGTTAAATTTAATGAAAGGCTCGTTTTCTTATTTTCAAAAAGTATTTAATTAAAATATATAAATTGATTTATACTTTTTTTTTATATTTCCAAACCTAAGGTTAGTTAAAATCTTACTTAATATCATTTAAATCAAAAAATAAAGTAAAACTGGTCAAAAGGTGTGTCCCTAAAGTCGAACGTAACCTACAAGAACTAAAAACCTTAAAAAACATATAAAACCTCAAAGAAAACTAAATAACCAAAACACTTAATTATATATTTTGTAATTCTTAGGTTTTTTCAACCCTGGACTGGTTCTAGGTTTATTTTCATATGCTTTATTGGTTTTGAAGGTGCCTCTTGGCTACCGATGTGAAGTTAGCAGTAACTTTTAGCAGTAAAAATTACCGAAAACACCCGATCGGGAAAACAGTGGCGTCCGGCATACAACTATTTTAATAATCTTGTCAATATGTATTTTACACATTAATATCGACAAATAATTAATATACGGTTGAAACTCGGGTTGAAAATAACCCTTAAAATTGATAAAAATATTTATCCTATGAAGAAAATCAGATCCCAATTTAATCTTACATTTAAAAAATCATAAATACACTAACATACGCTATAGGTAAACATTTCTTCGGGTCCGTTGAACAGGGTAAAATTACCCCATAAAATTCATAAAATAATTATCCTGTGAAGGATTTAATATTTAAAAAATCAATAGTAGACTAAATTAGATACAGTTTAAGCAAAAATCCCTTCGGACTCGTCAGACAGGGTAAAATAAACAATTAAAAATTTAAAAAATAATTACCCTATGATTGCGATAAATTTTCCACTTACTATTACATTAAAAAATAATAAATGAACTAAACAATAAAGTATGAAAGCAAAAATCCCTTTGGACTCGTCTAACAAGGTGAAATTAACTTTTAAAATTAAAAACGAATACTTAACCTAGGATGGGTAACAAATTTCAACTTAATCTGACATTCATAAAAAATATATATACTAAGATAAATAGTAAAATAATCCCTTCGGGTCCATCAAACAGGGTGACACTTATAATTAAAAATAAATATTTATCCCATGAAGTGAAAATCCCTTCAGACCAACTTTCTCTCACATAAGTTTAATATAACACACTGTAAACCAAAATCCCGTTGGACCCGTCGAAGAGGGCAAAATTAACCCTTAGAAACCCCAAAAAATAATTATTCTATGCGATCGGGTGTTTTCGGTTATTTTTACTGCTAAAAGTTACCGCTAACTTCACACCGCTCTCTTGGCTTAGGGCTAGGGCAGTTCTCAGTGAGACCAAACTTGATAAATGGATGTACATTCCCATAAATATGAAAATCACAAAAATCTCGCCCCCCTCCCCCTTAGCTGAAATGGAGGTGTCACTCTCAAAAAAATAGGTTACAATTTTTTCAATAAAATAATTGATATCTACGTTTTTTCTACATAAAAACCTTTAAAATTGAAAATTGAAATTTTTTTTGATAAAATGTTCTTTACTTTTTTCGACATAAACGATCATAGTTTGGATGTGCGGGTTGGCATTTAAAAATAGTTACAGAGAAGGTAAAATTTCATTTTTGGCATATTTACAATACACCTGATTTACAGGGTAAGTATATACTTGTACAAAAATCTTGCGCCCACCATTTCTTAGACGGTGAAAAAAAATTAATTTATGATTTTTTGTACATACAAACTCCAAATTTCCAATTTTTTTTTTTTTTTTTGACAGAGAAATATCTATACTATAATCGCATTCAGACGATTGATCATTGAGCTCAGTCTTTCGTCTTCATTCTATTTGGTCATCAGATCCACTCATGTTTCTCAAACTACTATACTAGTTGGTGTTGACTTGTTGCATAGTACGAGCCCCGTCCAGCTTCAGTTGGCCCACACATAAAATTAGTAATATTTTTGGATTTTTTTCGCTCAAGGAGAAAACCAGCCTCTGCAGAGTAATATTTAAGACAAAATATACTATTTACGGGAATATAGAAGATATTTGAGTTCAATGTATAGTGCTGTCTCACAAAAAATACATGGTTAAAAAAGTAGTATCCTTTTCATTCTATTAATAGAGTTGATAAATTTGTTTATTTATTTATTTATTTATTTATTTATTGTCTTAAGTACACTACAGAAATATGAATTCCAAATGGCACAGTCTTAAAGCTAAAACAACAATTAAAGTATAAGTATATACATATAAAAAATATCAAAACTCTTCAGAAATTTTAAAATACATTTAACGTCTAAAAAACAAAGTCTAACACCATACAAGACAAGAAACAACCTAAAATTTTAAAATTCGAGCATCCTCTTAACAGATAATAACGTACAATTAAAAATATCACAGTGAGAATAGTGCTTATTAGTTTGTACGATGGGTTTTCTCAAAGAATAGTTGTGACTGTCGAGTATGACATAACGGAACAACGAAATTTACTTGGCATAACAATTTTTCACAAATAATGTCTCCATTAATTATTTTGTAGAGCAAAAGTAACATTGCATCCCTGCGTCTCCGTTCAAGAGTTTGCATACCACAGAGGGTAAAAGGTTAACTCTATGATTCTATTACCCAAGTATTGCTAACGACGAGGGTTAAGGTGGCTATGAAAACAACACTTTTTAGACGGAAATGACAGTTACATAAGTTCCGATTGTAAAACAATTACTTAATAATCCTATTTGTTGTCAATAATGGGGAGAGGAAAGGCAATTGATGAAAATATTCGATCAATTATCATTAATTTACACAAATCTGAAAAATCAAATGGCGAAATTGGAATATTACTCGGCTTATCCAGATACAGTGTTCGAAATATTGTTCAATTGTACAAATCAAACGGTTCAGGTGCCCAAAAGGCCCGATATGTGAAAAAGTCCAAATTAACAGACAATGATAGACGAGCTTTAGCCAGAATTATTAAGTCTAATAGGCGTGCTAACTACGGAGAGTTGAGTGTACTCTGGAGTGAGGCCGTTGGAAGACGTGTTTGTAGGTCTACATGTCATGCAGAAGCCAGAAAACTAGGATTTGGTACATACAAGGTAAGTTTTCTGAGTTCAATCTAAAGGTTCAAAAGATAATAATCTTTTTCGTTTGCAAAGGCTAAAGAAAAACCGTTACTGACTCCAAAACAGAAGCGAGACAGGTTGAAATGGGCTAAAGATCATCGAAATTGGGATATGGAGAGGTGGAATATTATACATTGGAGTGACGAATCGCGATTTGAAGTGTGTGTCGGTGATAGCCGGAGCAGAGTTATCCGCCAGAAACATGAAACTTATCATCCTGATTGTCTTAAGCGCAAAGTTAAATTTCCATCTTCGGTAATGGTCTGGGGTTCAATGTCGTCTAGAGGGGTTGGAAAATTAAACTTTATCAACGGAATTGTAAACACAGAAAAATATTTAGACATTCTAGAGGACTCTTTGTTGCCTACTTTGGAAGAGAGTAGGATTTCTGGAAATGACCTCACCTTTCAGCAAGACGGTGCTGCCTGTCACACGTCCAAAAAATCCATGAAATGGCTTTCAGATGATGAAATACCACTCCTAAAATGGGTTTCCTCTAGTCCGGACCTTTCGCCTATCGAGACTTTGTGGCATGAAATGAAAAATCGGTTGAGAGCCAATCCTGCCAGAACTGTTCCAGAACTCAAGCACAGGCTCCAGAATATTTGGGATAATTTCACTCCAGCGCAGTGTCAGGATTTAGTAAATACTATGCCGAGAAGAATTGAAGCAGTTATTAAAAATAAAGGGGACGTTACTCAGTGGTAGAATAAGATATCTTAGAATTTAAAAAATAAATTTCCTTATTTCTAGTTTTTAAGTCCTAATCATTTCCAGTTGTTGTAACTATTTTATTTTTTATGCAAAATGTTTTTAAAATGTTACTTTAAAAATAAAAGTGGACAATTTTACCTCTATAACTCAAATGACCTTCGATACACGGCAATAACTGATATTTAATCAGGTGGGCCAACTGAAGCTGGACGGGGCTCGTACATAATTTATTATACCGGTGTGAAGTTAACACTAACTTTAGCAATAAAAATAACCGAAAAGACCTGATCGGGAAAACAGTGGCGTCCGCTCTGCAACTATTTAAATAATATTGTTAGTATGTATTTTGCATATTAATATCGACCTTTCAGTACAAATAATTAATATAGGGTGTTCCAAAATGTTTTATACAAATGAGAAAACGTTTTTATCTTACAGTTGAAAAAAAGAATTATTCTTGATAAAAAGTTCTGCTTCACTTGGAAATCCATAATCAAGCATTAAATTACAATTAACCACTAAAATTCAAAATAAATAATTATCCTACGAAGTCGATCTGATCCCAACTTGATTTTACTTTTAAAAAATCGGTAAAGTATTTTACCCAGAATTTCCCTCGATATAGAAATTGTAAAAATAGGGAACGTCAGTTTTAATAATTTAAAATTAAAACCACCAAACCAAAAACCCTTTTTCACATTTATCTCTCCATCGATCTTCCTCTTGATCCCACCCAGAATCTCACTTCGCGTCCGCTCGGTATTCTTCGTCAAGTTTACCATTATTGAACAATAATGATTGACTGCTTTTAAAATGGTTCAGTTACCTATACATACAAAAAGGACACTTTTTATTATTTTCATTTAAGGGGGACCTTTTTGATTAAATGCTATTTCTTTTAAAGGTATTTTGAATTTTTAAAATTTTAGGATTGTTATCTTTGGCTTCTAAAATTCTCAGATACCAATTTTAGTCGAAATCTGCCGACTTTTAAAATTATTAAAAATCTGCTCACCCTGTATATAATTGATCGAAAGTATTGTCACGTCGTTGCTTATCAGGGTAGTTTTTTAGGGGTTTGGGTAGCTCAGATTTTATCTGACGACGCCACGACGAGCTCTAGCTCGCCACGCTATATTCCGGGTAGCTCGAACTTCTCTAAGGTTTGGATAAAGTCCGGTCGACCCAAAATACAACCTGGTACAACCTGGTACAACCTGTACTTATTAATTTAATTTAACTGTCACTTTAACTATGGTTCTGCTTGTTAGAAAAAAGAAATTAAAATCACTAATGAAAACTTTTATTATTCCAGAAATAGATTTTTTAAAGAGACATACAAAAATAATTATAAAATCACTAATCAAAACTAACACTTTTATTATTCCAGAGATTAATTTTTTAAACAGACATACAAAAATAATTATAAAAATGTTTATGCTTACCGCATTATTTATTTGGGGCAGGTCCACAAATTGTTTTTTTATTTTATTTTAAGGTATTTATTTTATGTAAAAATCGGCGGAGCTTCTTAGATGTTGCTCTGGGCTCAGGACTTTCCTGACTGCCTCCTGTTTGTTAGAACATTTACCTTCAAGACTCATTTGCTGATTTTGCATATTCAACAAGTTAATACAACTAACGATATTTGTAGTTTCCACAGTTTGTGAAATCAGCAAAATTAGGAAATTTTGTTATTGTTAAACACTCGGTTAAACATGAAAGGAAATATCTTATAAAAATTGAGAATTGTTTAGTATTTTGTTACAAAATTATTATATTACTGGAATTTGAAATAAAGGTAACTGTCCTATTATGAATTAATTAATTATTAAATATGAATATATAAAGATATAGAATTTGGAAAAATTTATTAATTGGAATTTGTGACAGTATATAACTGGTTTTGAGCCAGAAAAGAACCTTATCTGCATACCAAATTCTATAAAATTCTATCAAGCTGTTTTTGAGCTATCGTGCCAACAGACAGACCGACAGAATGGGGAAACATGTTTTTCGTAATCTAGGGACCCTAGAACGTGAAAATCTGAAATAATCTCGGAAGGTGACTTTTTTACGATTACAATACTTCCCTCTTATCAAGGTAAGTAAAAACCCACATGGTGAATTAAACCCGTAAAATTAACGCGGTCAGATCCAAACTTGATTTTACTTTAAAAATATCATAACACTTTTTGATATAGAATGTTACCTAAAATCACCTCGTACCCGTCCAACAGTGTAAAATTTACCCTTAAAATTCAAAATAAATAATTACCCTATGAAGGCGATCGGATCTCAACTTGATCTTACCTTTAAAATATCATAAAAATACTTTCTGAAATACACTGTATGCGACAATACCTTCGGACCCGTTGAAAATTAACCCTTAAAATTGAAGGCGATCAGATTTCAAACTTGATTTTACTTTTAAAACCCATAAAATTACTTTCTAATTCCTACGTACACTGTAAGCCCGAAAACCCCTTTCGACCTGGCAAAGAGTGTAAAATTAAACCTTAAAATTCAAAATAAATAATAACCCTATGAAAGCGATCAGATCACAACTTAATTTTACTTATAAAAAGCAGTGGCGTGCCATTTTTTTTTTTTTTTAATATTCAGTTCAAACCCGGTCACTGGTAAAAATTTCAATATATTTTACGTCAAAAAATGCTCCTTTATGATTAAGTACAAAATGTCATAAAATTATCTGGAGTGATAAGAAAATTATGATAAAAAAGTTATTTTTTTCTAAAAACTGTAGCTCAAAAATTAAGAGGTATACAACATATGTTAATATTAACTGTTCTTCTTAAAATCGTCCAAAGATTCGCATCCTTAAGTATCGGCACTCAATTATAAAAACCCTGTATAGTGAAGTATCAATTTTGTAAAACTACAAACTTTCAAGTACACTTTGGTTTAGAATTATTTATTTGAATAAATGAGTAAATCAAAATCACTTGAAAATAAGTGCAATAATTTAAACTTAAACATTTTTTAATTATAATCAATATTTTAATTATTATTTTGCTCTAAGTATATTGAAATTTAAAAGTATTTTACTCTTCATTATAATTTATTGTTTTTATTTTCCCACCTATATTTTGCAAAATTTAATACTTGTTTGTGGATTTATAAATGAAGCAGAACTTTTTATCAAGAATATTTTTTTGTAAAATGTTCGATAAACCTTTTTCTTATTGGTATAAAAAAATTTGGGACACCCTGTATTAATTATTTGTACTGAAAGGTTGATATTAAATTGCAAAATACATAGGGTGTTTTCGGTTATTTTTACTGCTAAAAGTTACTGCTAACTTCACACCGGTATTTATTACTCATCTAGATAAATTTCTGCGTTTATTAAAAACAAATTAAATTTTTCTTACGCGCTCAGACTAATTTATTTCGCTATTGTTATTAAAAGCTAAGCGGCAGGTTCTGAAGCATTGAATAATTTTTAAATAAGTACTAAGGTTAAGGAAAATAATTAAGAAGGATGAAAGTGACAGTTTTAGACTTCCGCTTTCAACACAATTATATAATCAAAAATAAACAATTATAAACTAGTAGCTTACAATGTATTCATTTCTTTTATGGCATAATAAAATTATTGTCTGTTATTGAATTTTATTATAGTTATCATGTGCTCGTATCATTTTTTAAAATGTCGCCTTACGATAATGTTAGACAAAATATTGAGTTTATATACATGCTATGCTATATCATATAACTGTTTATTCTAAAGGAGATATAAGCCGAAGTCAAATTAAAAATAAATATATGTTTATTCCATCCAGTTTATTGTATTTTCTGAGAATACTTGTAAATTATTGTGTATAGAGGGTTTTTTAAATTAAAATGACATATTTAGAGATTACAACACTCACAATCGCAATATACAATCGCAGTATAAAATCCTTATTCTGCTACTTAGGTAATAAATAACCGATAATCATCCATCATGAGTTTGATTATAATCAGCTCTGGTAATTCATTGGTCAGTTCAAACAGTTATTTAATTGATTGTTTAGTGTGTAAAATAAAAAGATCAATATGTTGTAGATTAATTTATAAAACTGTAATTAAAACATATTTTTATTACTTTCAGGATTCAAAAAATGCTCCACTTATTATCAGAGAAAGCGGTAGACCAAAATATGACAACGTAAATATTTATAAGTCAAAAAAAGTACATGTTGGCGATGTTACATATATCAATGGACCAGTCATTATCAGCAATAATAATTCTGCGTACAATGATAAAAAAATATCAACTCCGTATAATGATCCGGATTGGGATGCCGTATTCATCGTTAACAGAATCAACTGGCTAGCTCAACCAGCCCTAGGAGAAAAAGAACATTTAGATTCTCCAGCAAAATATGTTATAATATGTAGGTAAATATTAAATCAAATATTAAAAAAAAACTTGTAGTAATCTTTACGAAACAGTATGGCGTCCCAGAACTTTGTCAAAAGCGACAATACAGGATTTTCTAGGGAACTACATGAAATTGTTCTAAATCATACTAACAAATTCGATATTTTACATCTTGGATTAATTAGTTCCCATTATTTTAGAAGTAGAAATACTTACTTAGTAGTGACGTATCTGTAGGGGCTGCAGGGCTACGGCTCCCCTGTACAAAGAGAAACCAATTTAAATAACTATAAAATAAAAATATATTACGTTATCTACCTATACTGTAACGTTTTTTTATTTTAAAAACAGCTGCTGGAATGGTTTTTCGATTCATAGTGTGCCTAGGGCGTTTGCGCGAACTGCTTACATTTCCCATTTCACCGCAATTCCAGTCTCAATAAGGCTTTTTATCATGTCAAACAATTGGTCGAATTTATTTCCCTGTTCTTTCTCTTTTACAGTCCTTATTTCACTGTATCAACCAGCCACCGTGGCCGCTTCATATTCAAGAGCAATGGACAAGACATCGACCAATGTTTTGTGATGGGCTAAACGAGTGTTCTTTGCATTTCATGGTCACGAAGTCCATCAATAAATGAAAGCCAAACATTTAATCATGTTTTCCGAAATTGATTGGTATAGGCAAATCGCACCATCTTCGCAATATCTAATTCTTATTCTTGACGTTTTTGTTTGCGAGTTTTTAACTGTGATTGATACAAATGCTCCAAGTGTTCGTGGCCATAGCGCATGTTTAGTCTCTTTTAAAGTTGTTCAACATCATCTATCTTTTCCACAGGTATAGCATCTCCTCGAAGGGCCATGGCTAGGTGTATTGCCGTTTCTTTTTCAGACTATTTGTTCGCTCTAACAGCTGTTTCGAACTGTTTTAGGCAACTGGTCCACGACATCCTTCTGTCTAAAGTTGAAACTTTAACTCACTAGCACTACTTACAATCCCTTTTAATTTCCTAATTGACTCCACCTTATGGCACTTTATTTCATCGTTCTTGACCTGTTTCGTATTTTTCACAACTTGTCTTTCTGTTTTCTCCATGTCCTCTATTATATTTTCCATCTCTTTTTTCGCCTCCATAGAAGAAACTGTATTGTTTATAGAAAATGTTTCAGAAAACCCTTTTTTAATAAGGAAAAAATTGAAGAAATTAGGGCAGAATTATCATTCGAAAATAGAAACGTTTCCGGATCTAAACCCCCACTTTCTATTGCTTCTTTAAGCCGCTCTGCTTTCTTCTCTGTCCTCTCCAGCTCACGATCCTCTAGTTCCCGATGTAACTCCATCATTATTAATTCACTTTAACCATTTTAACCACTATTTATTTACAATATCTCACACTTGACACCAATGTGACGTTTATTTATTTTAAAAACAGTTTATTTAAAAAAATTATTTATTTATTTATTAATTTATGCTTGAGCACTATTTATATTTCACACTTCTAATTTAGTTAACAATAATTTATCTTTTCTTGACAGCACTTATTTTAAAACTTAACTTAGTACAGCAAAAGAAAAAGTCACTAGAAAAATGTAACAGTATAGAAAAACAATCCTACTATACTCTGTTTTTAAACTAAGAGGAGCGATTTGAATTTAAGTTGGCAATTCTGTAGCCTTCTGATTGGTCAGATTACAGTCAGTTTCACACATTACTTTTTAGCATGAACATCAGCTAATAATTGATATTGTTGACAGTTCTGACATTTTATAATTTGATATCTCATCCATTACTTGTTCTTTACTTTATTTCGTAAATAATAGTTTTTCAGTAAGCAATTGTATTGAAAATCTACAATTATGGATCCTTCTACACTGAGTACTATTAAAGGTAGCAATTCCTGAAAAGCCTTACAAGAAAGGGAAGACACCTTATTATTTTACATGCTGATTCTGAAGGTTTTGTAGAAAATGCATTATTGGTTTTTGAAGGTAAAAAGATGGGAGATTACCATAAAGAGATGAATTCCGAAGTATTTTAGAAAAAAATAATTTTATTACTGATTTTTTAAAACTAAAAATTGATGAATTTCTAACCAAAATGATTAAAATGTAACTAAATATTCAAGCAAATTTTATTTATTAGAATAGAATAAAACTATTTACAAAATTGTTATAATATTTAAAACACCATCTACTACTTTAGGGATAATCTTAATTTGGCACAATGAGTTAACATTATTTTCATAAAAAAATATTTTAAAAATACTTAAAATTAATACATAGGTATGTATGAATAGTTCACTTTAAAAAATATATGTTTTCAAAACAAATTCTGACTCATAGGCCTGTAAACTTTTGAATGCCCTTATTTGCCCTCTAGCGCATTAACCATGGGTTAACACTAAATAAGCCATAATATCCACATTATTCATAGAAGAGATACCAGTTACTTTGTGATCCACTTGTCATTAACTGATTAACTTTTACTTTTTATACCTATAACAAATATATCCTTAAAAATGTAAACAGATCTTTATATTTTATACTAACCTGGCTACATCTGGATATTCCATTAACAATTTTCTTAAATATTTAATATTCATTTAAAAAGATCATAGTTATTCTCAAAAAGTCGATTTCAAAAGCAAGAAAAAAGTATTTCTGACATCAATCAACAACCATATTGACTTTAATTTGACAGTGACATTTCGTTTTAGACACACATTTCAGATCACAATAATGTGAAATTTGCGACCGTTGTCTGGGACCATTTAAAAAATTACTTCTATGACATTTATTCGTTTCTTAACCGCTCATTGGCCGTTCACCGACTAAGGCTGATAAAGATAATTATTTCATAAATTTTGAACACGACTATATTTCGAAACTCGCTCTTAGTAACAAATCTAGTTACTTTTCCCTGTGTAAATGCGTCTTTCCAATTCGCTCCTCCTAGTTTAAAAACAGAGTATAGAAGCCCAGTATATATACCAATCAGAATTGGCACTCTGAGGCGGCACGTTTGATCTTTAAAAGTAGAAATTTTAGTTGACACTTGACGTTTTCGGGATATGAAAAGTTTTCTTTACACGGACTTGGTATACATGGTTAGTTGAATTTTTGTTCTGCTGCTTTTCAAATTTGTGTGTATGAGGGAGATGTGAGATACCTTAATAGACAACGGTTGAACAACTTAATTACTTTGAAGAAGAAAATAGATTAGATATCAGGGCAGTCTTCGCAAATGTAAGAAGGACAGAACCGTTTTAAATTTTTTTATATATGTGAAATATTACTTTTTGGTGAAAAGTTTAATTACTTTTAGTTCAAAATATAACGTTAGTTTGTCAAGGGAAATATATAACACAAGGTTAGAGTAACAAAATAGAGGTATTGCTTTATTTCTTAACTCTAATCTAAAACTTTTCTAGTATATTGTAAAAATTTATTCTATACGTTATTTAGGTACTGCAAAATCTATAGGAAAGTATGTAGTTTTAAATTTAAAAATTTGTAACGGAGACATATTTAGTGTAGTTTTTTTACTAATATATACTCAGTGACTTGTTTTTGTGAATGAGTTCAAGTATGGCAGACTAAAATCGTTATTTTTTATTATGAATTAATTTGAATTTATTTTAAAATGGGAACTATATGTATATGGTTTTCGCAGTTTTTACACTTGTGATAAAAATATCAAAGTTATGTATATTGGCCATTTACTACACACAGCAAATTCATAGACACAATACATATTACTATTTGACATTCTTGTAAAACCACTAATTTAAAATTGACTTTAAACTAAGTGACTACACACAGAATTGTTTGAAAGCGGCCATAAGGTATAATTTATTTATTGGATACTATAAAAAAAATTAATAGTAGTTACATGTAGAGTTAAGTAACAAGAAATTTAAGACCAAAAACAAAACAAACCTTTATATCTAGTGAACTTAATTTAGTACAGTCCTCAACTTTCTTAGGCTAACATTAAAGATATCTATTTGGATCTCGCTAAGAAACTCATTGGTAACAGATCTTGTTAAAAAGAGATATACTACTTGGATCTAAATCAAATAATTTATTGTTACTTGGGTTTCTTAGATTAATCTTTGCCGCATTAACATTTATATAGTCAATCAATTCACAATCTTTGTACTTAAAATAGAGTACAAAATATATCACAGCCTGTTGCTTTCTTCTTTGTAAAAGAGATTTAATCTTAGGTATAAGGGTACAAGTATTTTTTATGACATAAAGGTACTGTAAACATATTTTTTGTACTTTTTCAGTATGATCAATTTGTGTGGCTTCCAAGGGCATCCATATTTGTGAAACATACTCAAGATGGAGTCTTACTAAGGCATTATATAATCTGATTTCGGTGGTAATCCTAAATTTGTTTGTATTTCTGATTTTAAAAACCTAATGCTTTTATTGCTTTTTTAGTTATGTGTAAAAAATGGTTATTGAATTTCAAATTAGACTGAAAGACTACTCCCAAATCCTTTACCTCATATTAACGATTTAATGTGACATCACAGGTTTTATTTCTAATGTAAAACATTAAGAGGCTATGGATCCTTACAACTTAAAATATGCATACGTTTGTAAGTGTTAAATAGACGGATAAAAAGTGTTGATTTTTATTTACAACTATAATAAGAACCCATTAAAAAGATTAAGAGCAATAGAACATTTCAACAAATTTCTATAGGTACACATATTTTTGATACCTGATAATCAATAAATAATATATTTTTTGGAGTAGCAACAGGTTTATTAATACACAACTATTATTTTGTTACAAATACTTATAATATTTATAATTAACATAATAGTTGATATAAGTCCTTTAAAAATAATATATTTTGATTTAATTGTTGAATTTATACATGAGCAATTTTCCTTGTAGCGTTGTTTACATTTTGCAGAGAAATATTGTATTCTGCTTTTAGCTGATAAATCATGTACATGTAAATGGGTTGAATGTAGACAATGTTAATG